CTGGCCCTGGGCTAACATCTGTGCCCATCTTCCTCCACTTTATATGGGACGCTGCCACAGCACGGCTTGACAAGCAGTGCGTCGGTGGGCGCCCAGGATCTGAACCCGGGCCGCCAGCTGCAGAGCGCACGCACTTAACCACTACACCACGGGGCCGGCCCAGGATGGCGTAGACCCTTAGATCTAAGTCTCCAGACCACGTGTCCAGCTGCCTGTAGTACATCTCCAATCAGCAGTGACCTCCCCCACTCACTCCGCTTTTCCGCCTGGCAGCGATCTTCGTCAACTTGTCAACTTGTTACTGCACAAAGGGCATGATCTGCTCGCCACAAGACAAAAGCCAATCATCAAGAGGCAAGATGGTGGAAAAGAAAGGGCAGTTTTTTACAGCTTGTTAGCAAGGGGGAAGATGGCCGACTAACGTCTCAAAGAATCGTCTTATAGAACAAAGACTACAGGCCAGTTATATAGAGGGCTGGTCTCCCAGTAGGGGAGGCATCTGGTTTCAGGGTGGGGGCATCCATCTGATTACTGGGTGGAGGCAGACATCTGGTCTTAGTTCCTGACAGTCTTTTGTTTCACTGGATATGCATCAGAGACTGGAGCAACACCCTAGGCCCTGATCTTTCAGTTGTCATTGATGATGGCTGTCAGCATAGACTCTGTGCCTGGGGGCCATCACATCACATTCCTAAGGAACTCAAAAGAATAAAGTTATCAACTTATAGAAGCTGGGAGGGGCCATAAAGTCTAGAGGTAGTCAGAGGTCATTCCAAGTCACAATATGGTTCCCCTTATGTCAACCCTGTATTGAGCTGGTATCAAACTCAACCTCTCAGTACCTCCATTTCCCCACCACCATCACCTCTCCTAGACCGCCGCTGCAAGGACCCCCACCTCCTCTCTCTGTGCCAGCCCAGCTTCTAGAAAGTTAACTCACTTTCTAGAGAATAGCACACCCTTCCGTTTGTGTACGCCTATCAATAAAAACTGTTGATCTCACACTCCCAATGTGAGAATATTTTCTTAGAACTGAAATATTCGAACCATCAACATTAGCTAACACTTCAAAGCACAGTGCGCTCAAGGGAAAGCCCGTCCTTAATAAGCACAGATGTAAATTCACTTCCAAAGAATCTTCTTGATGTTTTCAGGTATTTGTGTGTATGCATGTGGTTGTTGTTGACTTCTCGTTCAATCTGATTAGCCAGATCATTGCTGCAGC